ATTCAGAACTTTCTGGGGAATGTTATTATTATTGTTATTATTGCTGTAGTCATCGTCACTATTAATGACGTCATTGTTGTAGTCGTTATAATAGTAGAGTGAGGAAAAGAGGTTGTTTTTGTTTTGGTTGTTGTTGAGGTTTTTCATGTTGCTGCTGTTGTTGTCGCAGCTACTGCTACTGCCGATGTCGTTGTGGCTGCTGTCGTGGCTGCTGTTGTGGTAGCTGTTGTTGATGTTGTTGTTGATGTTGTTGGTTGTCATGGCGATGCTCGGTTCTGTGGAAAATTTTATTTCCGCTTTCTCGCCAGTGTTGATAAATGTGTTTGCATAATTGTCAACATTGCGTTCAATTGTGAACGATCTTGTGATTTGTTGGCGGTTATTGCAGTTACTTTTGTTGTTGTCGTCGTCGTTGTTGTTGTTGTTGGTAATGTTGATGTTGCTATTTATATTGTTGGGGGTTTCAATATCGTTGTTATTGTATAATTTATTTGTAATACTGTTGGTTTTGTTGTTGTTGTCGTCGTTAAAACTTTGTTGTTGATGTTGTTGTTGTTGCGGTTGTTGTGGTTGCTGTTGCTGCGGTTGTTGTATTAGAAAGACATCATTGAATGTTGAATAAAAATCACGTGCTCGTCGAGTTATGACGTCATGGTTTGTTGGACTCTGGTCTGTCTCAGCGATATTATTGCTAATATTATTGTTATTGTCCCGGCTGTTGTTGTTGCGGTTGTTGTTGTTATTATTGTTGTCGCTGCTGCTGCTGCTGTTGCTGCTGTTGTTGTTGTTGTTTTGGCCATTTTGCGAATCATCATCATCATCTTCAGCTTCAAAAACGCCATCATTCATATACTCAACATCGTCGTCGTCATCTTCATACTCATCACCCTCAACATTGTATATCTCACCGGTAGCGTCATATGTACCGATAGCGTTATTATTAGTATCGGTACCGTATCTGCTAGAATTTATATCATTCTTACCGACTTTAATACCATCACTACCAGTATCTGTGTTACTCGTGTCTAATCGATCTTCTCGGTATTCGTTATCGAATCGATTCCGGTAATCGGGCCAGGTGTCAACGAAGACGTCAACAATGTGGCCATTTTTACGCCATAGATTTAATTTCTGTGGGGGTGCAGATTCGAAGGGGCAGTTCAAAACGCCCCGAAGTCCGCGGGCCAAATAGACCCTCTGTGCATTCGTTTTAATGTTGTTGTTGTTGATGACGTTGTCGTTGCTGTTGTACTGGGAGTGCGTTTCCGGGATGATGATAGTGATGAAGATGATGATGAGGAAGATGACGACGACGATGTTGTTGTTGTTGTTGTAGTTGGAGAAAGTTTTGTTGGAATGATTTTTATTGCTGGTTGTTTCATCATTTTGACCAATGGATTTAACATAATAATGTTGGTGATAATGATGATGACGTTGCTGATGTAGTTTTTGCCGCTGTTGAAGCTGCTGCTGCTGATAATGGTGATCAGTTAAAATTTGATTAAAGTAACAACACCTCACCTCACTCTGAAAACTATCGAGACAGTGATGACGATTTAGATGATGACGATGAATTTGGCTCTCCACGGTGACGATTCCATCTGCAATCATAGTAATTGAAGCAGTAGTAGTAGCAGTAGTAATAGCAGTAGTAGTAACAGCAGCAGCAACAGCAGCAGTAGTAGTAGTAGTAGTAGCAGTTGCTGCAGTAGTAGCAATTGTAGTAGAAGTAGTAGTAGCCAGAGCCAAAGTTCTCGAATACACTCCCTCCAACATTAAGTTAACGAGTTTGCGTAACGTGTCAGGTATTGCAACGACTGTACAATTAAGGTTTGTTTGGGTATTATTATTATTAATAGTAGTAGTAGTAGTAGTAGTAGTAGTAGTAGTAGTAGTAGTAGTAGTTGTTGTTGTTGTTGTTGTTGTTGTTGTTGTAATAGTAGTAGTAGTAGTAGTGGTAGTAGTTGTGTTTTATGATTCTTGTCACTTTAAAAATTTCAAACTAATCAATTAATCCTTTATCAGTTACCAAATTATTTATTTATTATCTTTATGTTAACATACAGACACACTCATACACACACACATACACACACACACACACATACAAACACAAAATAGCACACGCACATACAAAATTTACACACATACATACACAAAATGTGCACACATACACACACACAAAATACACACATAAATACAAAACATACACGCAAACACACAAAACACACACGTACATACACAAAATATACACGCATAAATACAAAATATACACACACACATACAAAACATACGTACTGACATTTCAATACGTATTGCAGCACGCCTCTTACGCAATGCAAAATGCGCTAGACGCATAAAACATCATGCGTATAGATACAAGCGTTTAAAATGGAGAACAATATAATCGTGCCTACTATATATTGGTCATTTTGTATGTGTTTGTATATGTGTTTGTATATGTGTATGTGTTTGCGTATATTTATGTATTTGTGTGTATGTATGTATGTGTATATGTGTGTGTGTGTATGTGTGTTTGTGTGTGTTTGGAAGCGTGTAATGCGATTAGTTTGCTTTCAAAAGGATGTTAAAAAATATTTAACTTCCGGCATTTGACGACGACGACGACGACGATGTGATGGAAAGATGGAGGAGAAGGAGGAGGAGATGGAGGATGATGACGATGTTGTTGATGTTTAAGTGGGGTGATCAACTTGAAGTTGTCTGTTCTCACTGGCCCTGTTCAATTGTTCATTTGCATATTGTTGTTATAGGTTGTTGATCTTGATGATGTTATCGTCATTTTATTACTATTATTTGTTGTTGTTATTATTGTTATTTGTTGTTGTTGTTATTGCTATTCGTTGTTATTGTTTGTGTTGTTTTTTGTTGACAGTAGTTTTTTTAATTTCAGGAAACGTCAACATGCCCGCTTAGCAAGAAGCCAGTTCCCGTTGTTTCTGACAATGTTGTTGTTGTTGATGTTGTTGTTGATGTTGTTGATGTTGTTGTTGTTAATGTTGTTGTTGTTGTTGCTGATGTTGATGTTGTTGTTGATGTTGTTGTTGATGTTGTTGTTGATGTTGTTGTTGATGTTGTTGTTGTTGCAGCTGCTGATATAGTTGTTGCAGCTGCAGCCGCTTCTATTGCTGCAGCTGCTGCTTTTCTAGTTGTTTCTAATTATTTTTCCTGGTTGATTGAACAGCATATGTTTGGACGCTATCTAGCATAACTATAAACACACGCACGCACACATACACACACTCACCAACAGGCAGACATGTAAATACACACACACCTACATACACATACGTACAATAGATACATGCATAAACAAGTCAAAGAAATTTAATTGTGCGGTCTGCTGCAACGCTAAAAAGTAAACATTTTTCGACTCTTTGTATCCGTATGTCTGTATGTTTATAGGTTTGTGTGTGTATGTATGTTTGTATGTATGTTTGAATGTATGCATGTGTGTATGTACATTTGTATGTATGTTTGTATTTATCTAGGTTTGTGTGTTTGTGTGTTGTTGGGTTAGTTTTTTTTCTTGTTCTTTCTCTAATTTCGTTCTTTCGCTTTGAAAACTTCATTTTTAAAATTTTAAATTGATTTTTATTCGCTTTCTCTTCCTCTCTCTCTCCTTTTCTTTCTTTATCTATCTATCTATCTCTTTCTTTCTCTTCTTCTTTTTGTTTCTTCTCTCCATTTATCTCTCGTTCTTTTTCTGTATTTCATTTTTTTGTTTTTCTCTATCCCAACCAGTCAGTTATCAGTCTTCTTTATTACCTAGCAGCAATGAAAATCGCGAAACTCTTTTTTTTCTTTACACTCTCTCTATCTTCCGGCTTTATTATTTAATTCTTTCTTCCCCTTTCTCTTTCTCTCTCTCTCTCTCTCTCTCTCTCTCTCTCTCTCTGCTTCTTCTTCTTTCTTTCTCTTATTCATCTTATTCTCGCTTTTTTTCTCTTTCGTTTAAAAGGCGAGTTGAGTAATGTAATATTTCATTTTTTTATAAAATTCATTCCATTTAGAACAAGATATTTTTTCATCATTTATTTCACTTAATTCAAAAATTCCGTTGTGGCTTTTTTCATTCATTCATTTGTTTATTCATTCCTTCACTCATCCATTAACTCACTCATTCATTCATTTGTTCGTTCATTCGTTCGTTCGTTCACTCTTTCACATGATGACAACAACGTTTATGATGATGGCAGAAACGATGATGATGAGGAGGAGGATGAGGATGATGATGATGAGGATGATGATGATGATGACGTCATTTTAAGTTCATTAGTAATGGACAGGTGGACACAATTCCCAGGCGTCAAAATTCAACGGTGATGATAACGACGACGATGATGATAATGATGACCAAGATTATGATAATGATCGTCTAGAGAGAGAGAGAGAGAGGGTAGAAAAAAGTCGTCCCGTATTTAAACGCAGCACTGCTTTGACTTAACGATACTAATTAAATCAATGAGTAAGAATCGTTGTCGTAATTCAAGTATTTCTATTTCTCTCTCTCTCTATCTTTTCAATATTTCTTTATCTTTCTCTTTCTCTCTCGTTCTCTCTCTCTCTCCATTCATTCGTTTTTTCCATAGTCGTAACTCAGGTAAATCTGTATTCTTTACTTATTCGAAATCTCTTTTCAATCTTTCTCACTTTCTTTCTCTTTTTATCAATATCTCTCTCTCTCTCTCTTTCTCTCTCTCTCTTTCTTTCTCTGGGTTTTTCTCTCTCACTTATTTTTTTCCATCTCTTAGGTATTTTAAAATCTCAATTTATTTTTCCCTTAATCCGTTTAAGTTCCCGAAGTGACGAAAGGGATAAGATATTGTCTGCTAAGGAACGAACGAACGAACGAACGAACGAACGAATGAATGAAAAAAACAATAAAAGAATGAAATGAATGGATGGATGAATGAATTAATGAATAAATGAATGGATGGATGAATGAATTAAGGAATGAATGAATGGATGGATGAGTGTTTTAGGCTAAAATTTATATTTTTATTAACTCGACAAAATCTATCTATCAGTTGAGTAGAGGTTCACTCTCAATCTTTTGTTTATTTTATATTTTTCAGGAATTTTTTTTATTTATTCATTTTATTTAGTTATCCATTCATTCATGCATTCTTTCATTCATTTATTCATTCATTCAAAAGACTCAGGCGGGCATTCTTCAGTCCACCCCACTTTCTCTCCCTCATTCTGTTTCTTCAGCCAATCAATTAAGGGCTTGAAATAGTTCAGCAATGCATTGGCAGACATCTTCTCCACCCCTGTTAGCTTTTTAAATGGTATCTGCCATGGTTCCGATGATCCCAACTTTAAAACGTCACTGTGTGTGTGTGCGTGTGTTTGTGTGTGTGTGTGTGTGCATGTGTGTCTGTGTTTGTGTGTGTGGGTTGGTAGGTGCGAGTATGAGTGATTTCACTTTACTAACGTGTGTAGATATTTAATTTATATTTTTATTAGGGAAAAAGTGAATAAACGAATGAATGAATGAACTAATGAATGAATGGATGAATGAACGAATGAATGAATGGATGAATGAACGAATGAATGAATGTATGTTAGATGAATTACAACTTACGCCAGCTTTCGCCCAGCTTCCTTCGAGTTGGCGATGTTGCATCTATCGCATTGAATATAAAGCCAACAGAAAATATTGTAAAGTCATAAAAATCATTACAATATAAATCATAATAATTATTATTGTCATAATAATAATAATTATTATTGTCATAATAATAATTATTATTGCTGTTAAGATTATTATTATTATAATAAAATGTAACCTGTGCAAAGGCCTTGTGTTGTTGGCCGCTTTGCAGAGGGCTTCGTGAAATTGAAACACAATAACATGGGCTACGAAATATCTGTTTGTGCGTGTGTGTGTGTGTGTTTGTGCGTGTGTGTGAGAGAGAAAAAGAGAGAGTGTGTGTGTGTGTCTGTGTGTGTCTGTGTGAAATCAACATAATTAATTATATAACTAGTAAATTGAATGATGTTACACCTAATATAGGGAGTGTTATTTGGAACGTGAAATTTTGAGCCAGCGTCAAAATCATGCTCAGTTCTCTTTACGGGCGGGTAGATTCCTTGGTACTTACATCTGCATTTGGGTGTGTGTGTTTGTTTGTGTGTGTGTTTGTTTGTTTGTGTGTGTGTGGTGTGTGTGTGTGTGTGTGTATGTTTAGATGTTTATTATATTCATTCTTTCGTTTGTTCGTCCATTCATTCATTCATTCATCCATCCATGCATTCATCTTTTCATTCCTCATTCATCAATTCACTCATTCATTTCGGCCAGCCAGCTAACCTGTTCTCCCACCATCTTTTGTTATATAGTGTCTTTGGGGTATGTCCCGAGAAAACCCCCCACCTCCATTGGTCGATCATGTACCCAAACGGAAGGAAGGCCACCTTGCTCAGAGCCTGGTTCATTAGGAAGTTCAAATCCCCACCTGTCGAAATAAAATGTGAAAATATTTATAAATTAATAATTATTATTATTATTTTAATGATGACCGGATTTTAAACAATTATGACGGAGCAACAACATCATCATAACATCAACAACAACAACAACAACAACATCATAACAACAACAAAATCAACAACAACATAACCTCAACAACATCAACAACAACATCATCATCATAACATCAACAACAACAACATCATCATAACATCGACAACAACATCATCATAACATCAACAACATCAACAACAACATCATCATAACATCAACATCATCAAAAACTACAATTACAAATTTTTATTACTTCAACATCCATCTTAATAATATTATTTTCATTATTATGAAAAGGACAACAAGGGACCTTCATCATCAACGAAATTCTCCAAGAGTCCAACACTTTTCAGGTATTCCGGAGTAACGGTCGATAAGTATATCAAATCGCCAACCGCTTCGTGAAAACCTGTGTCGGTATTGTCGGTATTCTCGTTACTGTCGCTATTGTCGCTACTGTCGCTACTGTCACTACTTAATACACAAAGAAAAATTTACTTTGACGTGTTATGAACATTTTTTGCTTGTTGCAAATTTTTTTGGCGTATTTTAGACCCAAATAAAGGGCAATACCGAAAATGATGATACCAGCGCCAGCTCCGAGAGTGAAAATTTTAAAAACATGACGTCATAATAATGAGAATAATAATAATAATAATTATTATTATTATAATTATTATAATAATTATTATTATTATTATTATTATTATTATTATCATAACATATCAGGTATGATTTCATGATATTTTAAGTTAAGATTTTATTGCGTTATTACGACTGTTCGTTCGTTTAATATCATTTCGACATTTTATTTAAAGGTCCCTCACAAATACCTATCTAAAAGTTACGGTGTAATTATATTATAATAGTATCATGATACAGAAGAAAAGTATCTTGATATACGTAGAAAAGTATCTTGATATACGCAGAAAAATACCAAAATACCTGGATTAGCTCCGCTTTTGAACTGTATCGGTTGGTTCTGGTATTGCAGATGGTACTGTATGTGACCCATCTCGTGGTGTGTTGTAAGAAAGTAGCGAGAATTTACGGTTGTACATTGTTTAATTCTGTTTGGTTGGTTGATCCTTTGTATATTGTATATATGTATAAACTTTGTATGTGTGAATGTATGTATGTATGTATGTATATTGGTCTGTATGTATGTATGTATGTATGCATGCAGTATGTATATTTGAACTACAACCTCACACCAACAACCATTGCAGACAAACAACAACAACAACAACAGCACCTGAAATCTTTCTTGTTGTAGAAGTCCCAGGCTGAAGCGTGACACACCACCTCGCGGTCAGCCGGCCTGACTATCATGGACTTCTGCCAGAATGGATCTGGCATGGGAATGAGACCGAGAGATTTGAAGAACTCATCGGAGAGTTGGAAAAGTTTCAACGCCGTGTAGTTCTGTTGTAATATAATTATTATATTGCAATCATAATTATCATAATATTTTTTGTTATTTAGTAAAATGTATATTATATATATATATATATATATGTGTGTGTGTGTGTGTGTGTGTGTGTGCATGCGCGTGTGCGCGTATGTGTATGGAGGTAGGTGAGTATGTTAAATACGCAAGTATGTATAAACATATGAGCAGAGCACATCCCTATTTTACCTGCTTGATCAGTTCGTCAGTGAAATCGACGCTAGGACGATCTGGGAATGGGCGTAACAGAGGTTCAAGGTTCTCCCAAGTTTGTGCCCACATGTTACCTAAGTTATTATTATTGTTATTATTATTATTATTATTAGTAGTAGTAGTAGTAGTAGTAGTAATAGTAGTAGTAGTGGTGGTGGTGGTAGTAGCAGCTGTAGAAGCAACCGTAAAAGTAGTAGTAGTGTTGTAGTAGCTGCAAACAAAAGTAAGAAACATACCAATCTAACTTACTAACCTAGCAAATGTGCCGGTATATGACCTTGAGTTGGGAAACTAACATTGGGGTATTGGGCCATCAGCCTGCGCCTGACGTACGCGTGGAGTTCTCTGTAGAAGGGCTGAATCTCTCGCATGAGCTCCGCGAGATCGTCAACGAACGTCGGAGTCTCGTAAACATCGCGTAAGTACTCGCCAGCGTCTTTGTAGCCTGATGGTGGATGCTCACAATGGTCTAGTAGAAATTACATACATGGAGATATACAAACACACACACACACATATATATACATGCATACAGATACAGACATATAGACCCTAATCATAACCTTACCCTGTCCCTACATACATATAGAGAGATACAAAAAGATACAAAGATATACAAAGAGTGATTATACAAACCAATCCATAGCGTGGACTCGTTGTACAAGCCGACAAACTCCTCATACAAGTCCTTAAATTTCTTCCCGGTCTCATCTCGCCATCCTTTCCACGCCCACAATATTTCCTCAGTGTCATTCGATTTCGACATTATTTTTTCTAAATCTGAATGAATGAATGAATGAGTGAGTGAATGAATGAGTGAATGAATGAATGAACGAATGAACGAACGAACGAACGAATGATCAACGATCTGGATGACCTGGATCAACGACGAAGCATTTGTTTGGCGGTTCATTCGTTTTGTTGCAAACTTTCGCCTTTCCAAAGAGAGCTCTCATCTCGGCGTTTAACTGGTACATCTGATGACGATGGTGACGATGACGACGACGATGAAGATAATGGTGATCATGACGATGATGATGGCGATGATGATGAAAATAATTTTTAAAGTATTTTAAAAATAAAAAAAAGTGTTAAACTAACTCTGCTTATTTTGAACTCACAGAGGTTCAGATACCTTTTAACCATCGAGGCAAATAATCTCTTCAGTTTTGGGTCTTTAAAATTCTTCCAATCAAACTCCATGGCTTCTGAAACTAAACGCTTCGTGAAGTTGGTCAGTTGAAGCTTTTTCTCCACCTAATCATGATGACGAAGACGATAATGAGTCAGATGAGGATGATTAACGATGACGATGATGACAACGACGACGATGATCACCATTCCGATCAAACCTCAAAGACACTACATAGTTACTGACACTAATCTTAGCGTTGTGTTCGGTCAGGTTGGTACTATGGTTCCAATCGGCCTCTACCTTCTCTGACTGAAACTTCTCATACTCAGGGTTAATTCTAGCCACCCATTCCCAGGCTTCAGTTTCGTTTGTGATTAAGGGGGAAGGGTCGTTCTTCAGTCCATCATTTACCAGAGGCTGCACCGGGTTCGAATGCGCGGTTAGACAGATTAGGAGTACTAGTAGGAAGACAGCTACGAGTTTACCTAGAGAAATTTTTCAAATTTTTAGAATGGATCAAAATTTAATTTGTTAGCATAACGTAGTAGTTTACATTTTGCAAGTTTAATTGAAAAAATATTTTGAAAAATTTATAACAAATTATAGACAACAAACTTGTAATCATATTTATTTACAAATATTTATCCAACTTATACATGCAGATGTATGTGAGAGTGTGTGTAATGTAATGCTGCTTCCAAAGACAAGAGCTTAAATAAAATGAAACTTTTCCATAAACTATCTGCTCATTCACTCCATCGTTTGTTTATTCCTTCATTCGTTCATTCAGTCATTTAGTCGTTCATTCATTCATTCCTCCACTCACTCAATGATATTTGGCCTATGACCTTTTGAACTCTCTTATTTACTGAAGACACCGTAAAAATTATTTATAGTGATGTTGACAGCGACAACAAAAAGTATGAACTAATAAGAGCAACAACCGTAATAATAATAACAATAATAATAATAATAATGCGTCAACAAAAGCTGTTTAAAAATATCAATGTCATATTAATAATAATAGCAATAACAACAATAATAATAGAAGATCAATTAATTTAAAAACTGTACATGAAATGTGACGTCATTATTGCGTCAATGTTCTTTATTATTGACGTAAATTTTTAAATGGCTTCTCTTAAAATGACAAATTATACGAAATTAATCTGCTTATATAACAAGTGATCAAGTGAGATTGGATTTCTCAGAGCCCGTATACCCAAGGTCCAGGGTTCAAAAGCACGCTCATCCATGACCATAATTCGTATTTGAAGTGACACTTCTAACTTTTTGCATATAAAAAATGCTAATTGTATATACATGGAATATATGTTTTTTTTTAGTTCGCATGTGATAATAACTTCTATGAAAAAGCCATTAAAGTGTTAAGATAAGATAAGAAGAAAATTGCGAACAAACTGAAGAATAGGGCTTTTGAGATAATGGTTAAGTATATAAAGAATTATAATTTACTGCGATTTAGCTTCTAATTGATGTAAAAACTTCAAAAAATGGAGTTTTTTAATCAAATTAGGTCAATATTAACTGTGGGCTTAATTTTATTTTTTGTCGCAGAAAGCGCCATAATACAGATTAGCGAAGCAGAAGCAAAAAAATGGCTAAACAAGTACAACGTTGATGCTGAAAAATATTTTTTTGAAGCTACGGAGGCCGATTGGAACTACAACACTAATCTCACTGATTACAATTTGGCAATTTCTGTTAGTCTATTTTGTATTTAAACTTTAAAAATTATTCATCTCTGAAATTACTGATTAAATGACGCCAAATGTTTTTTATTTTTAAAAATTTTTATTTCATTTTTATCATGCATCACATTTCATTGCCAGATCAAAAAAGCAAATGATTTGGCGAATTTTACGGAGACAAAGGCAAAGGAGGCCAACAAATTCGCTTGGAAGAATTTCACGGATGAATTGTTGAAGAGAGAATTTTCAAAAATCACTGATATTGGGCCTGCAAGTCTTTCTGATAAGGATTTTCAAAGGGTCATTAAAAAAAAATTGCTTCCATTTTTATTTGAAATTTTTTTACTTCAAAAGTTCAAGTTAATTTGTTAAATTATATTTTTTTAGTTGTTAAATATTTTTTTTATATTAAAATCCTCATTTTAGATGTCAACACTGAACTCTGACATGACGAAGATATACAGTACAGCTAAGGTATGCAACAAGCCTAATGACAGTTCAGGAAAATGTTATCCATTGGACCCAGGTTCAAAAATTTCTAAATTTGGCTGATTTGTTATTAAGAAAATTAAAAATTGGTTATAAAAAATATTTTTCAATATTTCCCAAATCAACAGATCTATCTGGAGTTATAGCCAAATCAAATGACCTTGATGAACTGACATGGGCCTGGAAAGGATGGAGGGATGCATCTGGCAAGTTGATGCCTGACATGTATGAAGAATTTGTCAGCCTACTCAATAAAGCTGCCAAGATTAATGGTAATAATATTAAAAATAGAAAGAGTATTAATGACAACTTTGAAAATGATAATTCCCTAATCCTAATTTAGGATATGAGGACAATGGTGATTACTGGAGATCCTGGTATGAATCCCCGACATTCAGAAAAGATTGTGAAGATCTCTGGCTTGAAATTAAACCATTCTACGAACAACTCCACGCCTATGTTAGGAGGAAACTTCAACAGAAATATCCTAAACTGTCATTCCCAAAAGATGGGCACATCCCTGCTCATCTTCTTGGCAACATGTGGGCACAGGCCTGGAATAACATTGAGTACATGGTCAGACCGGCCCCAGATCTGCCAAGTATGGATATTACTGATGAACTTGTTAAACAGGTTTGTCTTTGCCTGTCTGTTTCATAGATATGTTTATGGATTTGATACATTATTGAGTGAATATCTCATTGAATGAATGAACATTAGATATCTAATGGATGAATGGATAGGCAGTAGATAGATAAATGATTGAATGAATGATAAAAAATTGAAACAAAATTGAATTCCATAAATTTTTTAAACATTGAATCGACAACAACAGAACTACACAGCTCTGAAAATCTTCCAACTGTCTGATCAGTTCTTCAAATCTCTCGGTCTCATTCCCATGCCTGAACCATTCTGGCAGAAGTCGATGATTGTGAAGCCAGCAGACCGCGATGTTGTGTGCCACGCTTCAGCCTGGGACTTCTACAACAGGAAAGATTTCAGGTTGGTTAGGCAGTTGGAACCAGGGTTGGGCCTGTACCAGTTTGGCTGGCAGGTTGAAAAATATTTTGATGTCATTGAATGAACCCTCTCCTTCCCATTCTACCTGCCTCTCTCACTTTCTTATCAAATTTTCATGTTTCTCTCTCTCTCTTTCTCATTCTTTTTTCTCTCCAACTATCTTCTTGTCATTTATTTCCTAACTATCTTTCCATCCTCTTCAGAATTAAGCAATGTACGACAGTGAACATGGGCTGGTTCATGACAACTCACCACGAGATGGGTCACATAGAATATTACCTCCAGTACAAAGAACAGCCGATTAATTTTAGGTCTGGGGCTAACCCAGGTAATATTAATAATTTATTATTCTTTGTTATCAATTTTATTTTTATCTTTTTATTGTTCTAAAGTATTCTTATCATAATCAAATCAATTTTATTTTTATCTTTTTATTGTTTTAAGGGAATTCTTATCATAATACATTTTTATTTTTATATAGAGTGTGTCATATGGTATTGTATAGAATGAGATAAGTAGCTAGGAGATAAGATAGATACGTTGTATTCGTGTGAGATTTATTGCCCCTGATTTTTAATTTTTTCAGTTGATTAGGTGATTTGTTAAAATAATTTGTTATCTACGGATTATTCGGAATTTTTTTGAATGGGACTATTATTAAAAATGAGATTAGATTTATGTTAAGGTTGTGTTAAGTTGATGAATAAATTTTATTAGTTGATAGATATGATCAAAGTAATTTATTACATTTCTATATTTATTTATAATAAATGTCATTCAGGCTTTCACGAGGCAATAGCAGACATCGCATCTTTATCAGTGGCCACACCGGAATATTTGAAATCAGTTGGACTGCTGCCTAACTTCGTTGATAACCCAAGTAAGAACCAAAGATGATAGAAATTTTTTTCAAATTTCTCTATTTTATTCATAATTTTATTGATCTTATTATCAATGTTATATATGTTTATTCAAATACTTTCATATTTCATTAATAATTTTTTCTGCCAGGTGGCGATTTGAACTTCCTAATGAACCAGGCTTTGAGCAAGGTGGCCTTCCTTCCCTTTGGGTACATGATCGACCAATGGAGGTGGGATGTTTTTTCAGGGCAGACTCCGAGATCGCAGTACAACAGCAAATGGTGGCAAAATAGGTGGGTTGCTTGCCTGAATGGATAAATTAATGAGTGGGTGAATTAATGAGTGAATTAATGAGTGAATGAATGAAGGGATGAATGGATGAATAACTACTCAAACACATGCACACAGATGCAAATATCAAGGAATCTATCCGCCAGTTAAAAGATCAGAATTTGATTTTGACGCAGGTTCAAAGTTCCATGTTCCTAATAACACCCCATATATTAGGTCTTTTATTTAGTTTATTATTTCTAAAAGTTATTTTTAATTAATTTACTTAATTATTAATCATTTGTTTAATATTATTCTTTTTATGAATTACCATCTCTAGGTACTTCGTGGCCCATATAATTCAGTATCAATTCCAGGAAGCTCTATGCAAAGCTGCTGGTAACACAAGACCATTACATAGGTTCAATTCTTGATATAATTTTCTAAATGTTTTGTAACCATATTCGTAATTTATTACAACATTATTTTACAATACTTCATTTATACTTCAACATTATTTATAGCGTAATTATTTTTATATGTCTTTTCAGATGTAATGTTGCCGGTTCTAAAGAGGCAGGCAAAAAATTATCGTAAGTTATATGATCCATTTCTTAATAGTTCCAAAGATTGTTAACCAATTTGATAAATTTTGCAACTTTCAATCTCATCTTGTGTTTGTTTTCTTTTGATTTTTTATTGAATCATAATTTTGAATTTGAAATTCAGGGAGCTTATGACGTCAGGAGCATCAATTCCCTGGCCAAAGGTTCTTCAGAAATTGACTGGCACAGACAAAATGTCCGCTAAACCACTAATGGCCTACTTCAAACCTCTCATTGATTGGCTGAAGAAGGAGAACCAAGGTCAAAAAGTTGGCTGGGATGAGAAATGTCCACCCGGCTCTTTATAATTGATGATAATTTTTAATTTATAGAGACCTTTTTACCGGTTACTTCTAACTGACACCATGTGATAATAATTTGATTAGTGTGATTTTATTAAAATTTTGATACTTTTGAATTGATGATCAATCGTCGCTTGCGTAATTATAATTTTTTATTGTTCATTTTTTAGATTTTAGAGAATAATAATACTCTGATTATTATGCATCGAAACGTTCTTTGTTCTAATAAAAAGCTAAATACAAAACTTTCGAAACTGTACCATAATAAAATTGTTATAAAAAAAATTATCAAGTTTTAAACGATACGGTTGAATAGATTTATATATAGTTATGTTGAGTTAATGATTATATATAATTATATAGTGTTAAATACGGTTATATAGATTTACATATAGTAGAGTTATTGATTATATAGTGTTATATACGGTTATATATACGTTTCTGGACGCTAAACGAAGATTGATCAAGTTTCAAACGAAAGTCGGCAAGCAGTACAAAACAATGAAGCGTCAGCAGCTGCGTGGTTGTTTTTGAGGCCACTTCTACGAACCCCTACCCCTGAAACTCACTGCATTTGTACTCAGATGTTGATTTTATGAAACGCATATCACCATTTAGTGGTGATTTTTTTAAGTTTTATAACCAAGTTGAATTTGATAATGTCATTTTCTTTGGAAAAAATAATGTAAAATAATGTTTGAGAATAACTAACAATGGGATCTAAAGATATAACCATTTTAGTTTTTCTCCGTTTTACTCTGGCGATACTATTTTATTCATTTTATTATTCTTTCGTCTTCATTCAATATTATTCATCAATCAATCAATCAATTAGCTTATAAAGCGCTATTTCCGCGATGTTCAACAGCGCTCCTCATTGAATTTTGAAAACAGATGGGTCTTGAGATCCGCTCTGAACTTCGCAAGTGATGGAGAAGTAGTCAGAGAAGTAGGTAGAGAGTTCCAGAGAAAAGGACCAGAAAAAGCAAAAGCAGATTTGGCAAGAGTGTTTAACACGAGGTAAGAAAAAGCGAGAAGAAGAAGACGATCGTAAACCGGGGCGTTTAGGTTCAATTAATATATCTGATAAATACTTAGGAAATAATTTAGATTGAGACTTATACATGAACGTGCAAATTTTAAAAATTATTCTATATTTTATAGGTAGCCAGTGCAAGAGAACAAGATATGGAGATATATGAGAAAAGAAAGGGGCACGAGCAACTAGACGAGCAGCAGAGTTAAAAGCTTTACTTAAAGGATAGAGTATAGAGTCAGGAAGACCATAGTAGAGCGAGTTACAATAATCAATCCTAGATAAGACTAACTAAGTAACAAGAAGGAGAAGAGTAGGATCATCAAGAAAAGGCAAAAGTTTTTTTATTCTACGTAGATGAAAGTATTTTGTTATTTAAATCCAAAATATTATTACAAAATTTTTCAGTTTTATCTAAAGGGTATAAAAGAAAATATTTTAACAGATGTTATTAATACTAGTGTATGCGTAAAAACAACAAAATTTATCCACTTGTGTAGCGCCTAATAAAAGTTACCTATGTTTATTCATATCTTTTTTTTTGTATTACGGAAAAAACAAACCCGACACATTCTTTTTTTGATAATTGTGAACATGGTGGTCGAGAGGTTCGTGTTTTCATTTTAAATCGCAATCCATCGCATTTAATAATCTCTTTCTGGCCATTTTAATTTGTTTTTCAACGAATTTAATTATTGTACCTTCGGAATAATTTGTTGACAGCAAAAAAAAGGTTCCGTCCGTGCCGGAATCGCTGGCCAAAAAACGAAAATTGAATGCCGAAAAAAAAGTGATCCTCTTGAAAGCAAAATATAACGCTAAAAAGGTGAATATGAGTTTCAATTATTTCACGATCTGTTTTGTTAGTTAGCTAAAAGTGTAAAATCGGATTACATAACTTGTTCTCCAGTTCTTTGATGCACCATAAATTTTAAAAATAAGCCAATCGCTATTTTTTTCTTTCCTAATCAAATCATTTAATGTTTAATACTACTATAGAGAGAATCACTGAAGAAGAAGCTGTACTTTGAAAGAGCAAAGAAGTACGCTGGGGAGTACAAAGCAAAAGAGAATGAACTTCTGACATACAGCAGGCAGGCTCGCCAACATGGGAACTTTTACGTCCCACCACAGCCAAAACTTGCCTTTGTTATCAGAATCAGAGGGTCCGTCTTATTTTTTATTTCATTTTCTCTAATGTATAAAACTAATTATGAAATTTTTCGTTTTTGATCTGCAGTATCAATGGACTGCACCCAAAGCCAAGGAAAATATTACAGTTGTTTCGTTTGAGGCAGATCAACAATGGAGTTTTCATCAAGTTGAACAAAGCTACCATCAACATGTTAAGGATCGTTGAGCCATATGTCACTTGGGGGTCAGTATTTCTACCATATCTGTATTTAATCTTGTTTCGCTTTATATTACTATCCAAAATGCTATTTAGTTGATTGCAATATGTGTCTTTGCTGTTAATGTTGGCTCATTTGTCTCTTTAGATACCCAAACTTGAAAAGTGTCAAGGAGTTGATCTACAAAAGAGGATTTGGCAAAGTTGATGGCAGGAGGATCCCCCTAACTTCCAACTCGATCATTGAAAAGAAATTAGGTGAGTAGATTTTAACTATAAACTATAACTTGACAAATTGTCAACGTAGTTAAGTCAAGTTTAAAATTTGATTTGCCTATTGTTATTTGTAATAAATGTCAACCTAACAATCATGTAGGTTCAAGGAACATGATTTGTATGGAGGATTTGATCCATGAGATCTTCACCGTCGGTCCCAACTTCAAGTTTGCCTCCAACTTCCTGTGGCACTTCAAACTGAACACACCAAACGGTGGATGGCGTAAGAAGACAAACCATTTTGTTGATGGTGGTGATTTCGGGTGCAGAGAAGACAAAATCAACAACCTCCTCAGAAGAATGAATTAAAGAGGTGTCCTACTTTGATATCACCCAGATGAAAAAATAAATAATTAGGCATAGACTGATTATTATAGTATTGCCTGATGTTAGTGGGATGAACAGTACTATATTTTGGCGTCGGTGAAGTTGATAGTTCTTAATAAAAGAATTACAAAACAAGTCTGGCTTTCTATTTATTAGGTATTAAAAATTACAACTCATGTTAAGTCATTGAGAACCCTCTGTAAATGTATTAATATAAAACGCGTATGCTGTGCACAGTCACAATATGTCGGTGTATAGGTATGCTTTAAAAGTTATTAAAAAAAATAAAAATGTTTCAACGTCACTAAAATGGTCGAATCAAAATTTTTAAAAATATAAAGTTGAAGGAATTGTTATCAGTGTTTATCTATATACAAGATATGCTGTGTCGTGTGTAGTCGGGTCGCAGGTAGGTGTGTGAATGTTTGGGCTGTACAAATGAGCATCCCATTACACGTGTTTCATTTTGATGTTCGTGTAGATGGCATTTGTGTGCTTGCGAGTAATTGAAGTGATTTATTCTTCACAAAGACTGTAAATACGTACAACAATGATTTTTTAAATGTAGAATGAAAATTTAACTGGGAAAAATATTAAAAAGTGGATAAATGTACAACTCGTTAAGATGACAAATTGATTCTATCACTTAACGTACTGAGCGTTTCAAATACAACCAATCTACTTAATGCAACGGCAAATGTCGCTGTGTAAATATAAACCGTTAAAACAATACTTGTAACGATAAACATCAGCCGATAACATTCTTTAAAAAATTTGGCTGCTCGCGCATACAGGCTTAATTGATGATGGTTTATTTTATAGAGCGGTTGACTATCCCGACAATGTATGGATTGGATTGGATGGAGGAATCGTCTTTTCAAAGTAATTAAGTAGATGTCATTGAATAGTTGTAACTGTAGTATTTAATTGCTGGCATGGTGTTCTGTATAAATATATAGTTGTGGGATGTAGGAGCAGTGATTCAGAAGAAATTGTCAGAAGAAATAACAAGGTGTGTGTGCCAATCTTGTATTCTCTTTTATTTGAAAAGGTTTGTCCGCCGGCATTCGCCAGTAAACTTCTCAGAAACCTCCTAAAAATTTGTTTCTATATACTTACAATCTTCAATATATATTCATCCTGTCAATGAATATTTTTTAATCTAAGCGAGATTAGTTTAGTGGCACTACAAGTAGCAGTAGCAGCAGCAGTGTTGCAGTAACAAAAAAGATTGTAGCGTATACAGGTGTTACATTGAAAATTCATTTGTCCTGAAGTCATTTTGTAGTATGTTGTTGCAGTCATTCAGTTCTAGAGAGAATCTTTTTTCGGACTTTTTCTGAAATTTTTTTGAAGGATTATTCATATATATATATATATTAAATATAAATAATAGTTATATATATATTTATGTATTTATTTATTTACTCGAAATTATTTGTTTGATTGATTATTAATATAACCTGGAGATCAATTGCATCTAGATGTTTTTTTAAGTCTTCACTTTTCCTCCTTTTATTGTCAGGCAGAAGGTTGTCTAACCAGTATAAATCTCTCTGACTGAATAACAGATCCATCACTTTTCTTGTAACAATCAATGCTATCAGCTATGTGTACGTGTGTGTGTGTGTTTGTTTATGTGTGCGTGCGTGTGCTTTTGTGCGAGTTTATGTTTGTGTTTGTATTGTATGCTTGCGAGAGTAGTTTGTTTAGCTGAGCAATTCACTATTCTCATTTATTTATTTTGTCATTCACTCATTCATTTAATCATTCATGAGATTTAATCGTCCATTCATTCATTCATTCATTCATTCATTCATTCATTCATTCATTCATTCATTCATTCATTCATTCATTTATTCAATCAATCAATCAATCAGTCAATCCTAGTATACTGACAACTAGAGGAAAGCCAATGCTAGTTGCTTGGATGCTCTTTATAGACCACATCAGAACTGAACAACCAATCTTTTAGTATTTAATTATCATTATATTATAATTTATTATTACTCTCTTTCATTTATTCATTCATTCTTTCATTCGCCTATCTGTCTATATAATTATAACAAACATCAAATTCAAACATATATCTATGTAACCAATTATATTCATCCCTCCATACAGCAATTCACTCACTTATTCATTCATTTATTTATTCATTCATCCATCCGTTCATTCACAATTAATTAATAATTCATTTACGAACAACAAAAAATAATATTTGTCACAATAATTCATAATTCATACCTGTATCAAAGTGAATGAATGAACATTTCTGGTCTTAACATGCCTCAGGTATATGCAGTCAGGCTGATGTTTTATAGGCATAAACAATAACAAAACCCTTTCCACAAACTTGAAAAAAAATTATTAATAAAATTATTCAAAATAATTACAAATATAATTATAATCACAATAAAATAGCAACAAGTACACACTTGAACGTCTCCCAATGAGGTAATACCCATGTATAAAAACACTCCATACAATACTGGCATTGGTACAAGCTGGTATCAAATAATAATTAATATTAATAATAAAAACAATTATATTTGTCATAAAAATTTTTATTATGATTATAATTAGTGATAAAACTGTTAAAAATTTACTCTAAGAACGGAGGTAAGCAGTGTTGAGAATCCGATGAATAAATGTATGAGGAACCCTGTAACCCTTTGCTCTCTTTTTTAAATAAAAAGTTAAATAATTGAATTAATAATACTTATTACTATATTTATAAAAAAAACTAATTATATTATGATAAAAATATGTTATAAAAATAAAATACAAAAAATTAAAATAAAAGAATATTTTTTCAAATTATATTATTACCTAACTCCTAACATCTGGGGCCTCTCTCCAGGAATCTTAACCTCAGATTCCCTAATTAAACTTTTAACGTGTGTGATGGCACGGACAGTGGCAGCCACAAACCAAGGTAGGCCCAGGAATGAACAGATTGCTATTAATATGGCCAGAACAAAAAGATCTAAATGGTAGCCATGACCTTTCTGAGAGGAATTTTGTAAATAAAAAATTATTCAGTAACTTAATTAACGTTGTAACATTTTAAAAAAATAATTAATTATTGAAAAATTCAGTAAAATGCCAAAAACCCATTCATTTTGGATAAAATGTGTTCAATTCAAATCAATCAAACCATACATAATTTTAAAAGATTAGTGAAAAAATGAATACAAACAAAAATACCTTAAGTTTGTGCTCCTTTCTGTTAATGATGACGGCAGTAATTTGTTGATCAAGTGATATTAAAATTGTCGCTAGGAGCCCCGGAAAGGTAGCCACCAATATGAGCCACCAATGATTGATCTTTAACGGATTTACTAACCATCCCCTAATGTTAAGTTTTTGATTATTAAATAAATACCAATAAATTTACTGTAATATTTAATTGTTGAAAATTGTAAATATAACCAAATAATACTACGAAATTGGCATACTTTAGACAAAATTTTCGATCTTAAATACACATTTTGTACTAAATTCACTTTTGCTTTAGCATTTAAAATTTAAACGGATTTATAAAAATAACATAGCGCTTCAAACATCAAATTTAATGAATTGATTTTCTTCTATAAACTCGATAAATTAACCACTGGTATTGCTGAAAAACATTATTCTATTAATAATATTTTGTCTATAAATTTGTTAAAAAATTAAATTAAAAAAATTAATTCTACCTATCTGGTAACGTGGGTTTGAACTCATTTGGCACCTCCAGTTTTGGAGTGTCCAAGCCAAAAAAGTAATCGACAACTGTCATGGCGACGATAGAAAGAAATACGGCAAAGTCTCCTAATAAATTCCTAATCTGAAATCATCACGTCAACAATAATTAGGACAACATTCACAATAACATAAAGAGCAGCACAAAAACAACTGCAAAGAACTATATTAACAACATAGGATCTCATTATAAAAATAGTTTACTGAGGAATGAATGAATTAATTGATTAATCAATTATAACAAATTGAAAAAGTATATTTTACAAGTGAAGGGAAAAAAGGACTATTTCTGAAAGTCCTAAGAGTGAACGCAATGGAAAAGGTGCCAAAAAAGAGCAAAAATGATAGCAGGAATACGTCCGGAACAGCGCTGACATAATTATCATTATCACAAACTGCCCCCAACGTTGTCCAATTGGCTGATTGACAGTCATCTTTCGTAAGACAGCTGTTGATTGGTTGGTTAAGCGGGTAGTTTTATTGGATTGGTTGGTCGGACGATTTGTTTGGCTGGTTAGTTGATTGATTGTTTGGAAAGGTTGGTTAGTCAGTGTATTCAAATTTTTATCAAATTACAGATGAATTCAAGTTTAAATTAATCAAAAATACCGATAATTGATGAGTATCCGTTTCTTCAGTGTGAAACAATCTTCAGGTAGTAGCGATAATTTTTGCACAATACCGCTTACGTTATCTGAAGTAATTTTTTAATAACATTTGACGAACGACTGGAAAAAAATATTTGCTTGCTATTCGACTAACTTCTCATGGCATCCATATTAAATATGCTACCCGCATCATCAACGTCATCAAATATATCGACCACAGGGACGCAATAACACACATCGCGAACAGCAGCAACAGACTCTATGATGTTTCCGCCAAAATTTTTGGTAAAAGTTGACATCTTGCCGTTAAAATTGACCTCGAAATGGCTGTCATCTACATTATTTGTGACAAACAACCCTTCATCGTTGCCATATAACAAATCACGTGACATATCTACGTCATCACGGGATAGGTTGACGTCATTCTCAGACGGGTCTAATTGTAGGGATGTGCCCGTATTCGTATAAATAGCTTCTCTGCGTAGTAAAACCGGATGCGTGTGCCATATTTCAAAGATTTTGCTAAACGCCTCCACGATGAAAATTAGGGAAATTAATACGGCGAACGATTCTTCAGTAAATCTAGTGATATACCTCACGTAACTGCTCAAGTCGAATGCTACGATAATAAGGAGGTAGACGAATGACCATAGACCTATCCAACAACGAAATGATAAGAAATCAATTCTGTTTTCTCTGTTGTTGTGGCAAATGTTATTATTATTATTTGTTGCTGCTGTGGTAGCTATTATAACCACAAAACGATGGTTAGAAACAATAGTAGCCACAAACAGCAACAAACAAACAAATGAACGGAACGAAGAACAAACATTCCCCACTTGCAAAGATGATAAAGTATAGACTCAAACACGAGTAAGGGTCCTGTAGCACCTATTATCGTCAATGGTTGCCCCGAAAACAGGGCATAAAAACAGCCGCATACCGCTGCCGACGTTAATGTCTCCATTGTCCCCTGATGGAATATGTAATTAACTATTCAAATAAATTTACTCAATAATCAACCAACAAACAAATCTATCAATCAATCAGCCAATCAATCAACAAACCAATCAATCAACAAACCAATCAATCAGCCAATCGACAAACCAGTCAATGAATCAATCACCCGACCGCCAACCGACCATATAATTATCAGTTTTCCTGCCCATCAGCCCTCCGAATGTGACGATGGGTGTGATGCACGCGAAGTAGAGGAATATAATGGAGGCAATGCATTGCACGTGCAAGCCGTCCCTTATGTCGCTAAGGAAGTAGCGGAATCTGCGTTTCACGTCGGCCACTAATCCGCCGAATAATCTATATTCAGGATTTTTTATTCTCGATTAGATGAAAAGAATTATTTGTGAGAAAATGAATTGCCTACATTTAATGAATTTAACAACTCTTAATATTAAATTTTGTTAATGGTTAATTCAACCAACCAACCAACCGATCAATCAACTAACTAACCGTCCAGTCCTTATTAACGATTCATCGATGACGTCATCGTTGAGTACTTCCTCCTGCTGCTGCTGCTGTTGAACATCCTCTCGTCTGCTCTCTTCGTTCAGGCGACGCCATATTTTCAACTTTAAATTATGAAACAAATTGAAAGAAAAAAATTATCTCGAGTATCATCATCGTCGTCACCATCATCATCAAAACCTTAGTTTTTGTATTGACGGGTGGTTCAAGTCTTGCGCACGGATCCCAGATACTCGGTGGTAGAACCGTCAAATCGTCCAAGTATTCGTCGATCCCGGTTAAGATATCGTGAGCTGTGTAGGCATTGTATGCCACTTCACAAAATACCTGTGGAAACGCATGTACGTACACTACACATGTACGCAAAGTACTCTTTCTTCCGTTTGACTTTTCTATTCATTCACTCATTCATTTCCTCATTTGTTTCTTTATTCAATTCATTTTAAAGTCATTTACTGGTTTTATAATGATAATAATTTCCACAATCCAATCAAGAACCTTATCGTTAAATAGAGCAGCCATGGCTCGGCCAATCTCGTTGCATTCCCCGATGGTCATTTTTTTGAACGGGCCAATAGCAAGCGCCACAAATCTCGTTGGCAGGGCGACCTCGCAAAGTTCTTCAACAACATTGGTTGATTTCAATCTAAAGAGCGCTATGATTGGCTCATTCAAAAAGTCCACTTGGCCAATCAAAATACTGGCTGTCTCAGTTTTGTTCGGGATTTTTTTCATCAATTTTCTATTCGGCTGGAGGAAATTATTTAACCCAACACTGATCATATGGCATTGTAATAAGGGTTTACTTAAAAAAAACCTTATAAGACACGAGATCGCATGGTTTGACACCCCCCTGAAAAGTGGTATATGCCGACCAAAAATCTTTACCATCCCTTTTCACTAATGACTTTCTGCGCTCCGTCGTATTTGTCGAAGCTACGAATATTTAAATACACTTGTGTGGCCTTGTAATGTATTGTAATTGGGGGGTGGAGTATTATACAAATGAAAGAAGTAAAGGAAGTACAAAGAAAAAATACACTGACCTTGTAGTAATTTCACGTCTGATTTCTTAACATCGCATATACAAGTAGTTGTGGTAGCAGTAGTAGCAGTAGCAGAAGTAGCAGCAACAGAAGTTGCAGTAGCAGCAGCTACAGAATTAGCAGTAGTAGCAGCAACAGAAATAGCAGTAGTAGCAGCTACAGAAGTAGCAGCAGTAGCAGCAACAAAAGTAGCAGTTGTAGTATCAATATTAGTAGTAGTAGAAGTAGTAGTAGTATTAATGAAGGAAGAGTTATTAACGGTAGCACAAGTGATAGTAATTAAGTGATTATTACTCATGCTGTTATCAGTAGTTGCAGTAGTAGTAGCAGCAGTAGTAGCAGCAGTTGTGGTAGTAGTGACTGTTGTAGCTAGTTTTTCACGGAGGAATGCAACTAGACTAAGTTTTTTATTTGTAGTTTTGTTTGCATTGTTAATGTCATTGGCGTCATTGTTTTCCTTATTAATATTATTATTATTTTTGTTATTATTATTATTATTATTATTATTATTATTTATTTTTCTCTTTCTTTCGCCCTTGCGATTTTTGTGCTTATGCGGTTGCGTTAAAATATGCCTTAATTTCCGGATTGAGTCTGTCTTGAAGAGGTTGCTGTGGCAGTTGATGTTGTTGTTGTTGGTGGTGTTGTTGCAGTTGTTGTTGTTGTTGTTGTTGTTGTTGTTTTTGTTACTGTTGCTTCCCGCCAACATTCTCGATATTGAGTCGCATATTGAATCTTGTTATGTACGGGGATGAATTTAATGGGAAAAAACGAATGAATGAATGAATGAACGAACGAACAAATGAATGAATGAATAAACAAGTGAAAGAACGAATCAAATGAATGAAAATGAAATTAGACAGAATAAATCAATTGTGAAAAATGTCTTAATGTTACAATTTGTTTTCATTTCGAGTTTAGTTCATTTTCTCCACCATCAGTTTCCTCCTATTCATCCTTTCCTCATCATTATTATCATCATCATCATCATTACCTGCTACACCATCATCATCATCATTACCTGCTACACCATCATCATCATCATTACCTATATCATCATCATCATCGTCGTAATTTACCGGACAGTCCAGTTAGATTAGGACAAGGAACGTTTAACTGCATATCCAGCATACAGCGACCACTTGTTATGGCTTCTCTCAGCTGCAAGATGGCGTGCAGTGATGTCGTAGTCACGTGAGGTTTCGACCACCGGCCACCGATCTCTACCTTTTCTTCGTATTTTAGCCATCTGGGGGAGGAGATAAAAAATTTTTTTTATTCTTTTACGCTGTTGTTGCTCTGTTTGTTTGTCCGGTCAGTACTCGAATGTTAGTTCGCAAGTTTAAGGTTTAGATTTTGCAATTTTAGCGTTTAATTTTTTTTAAGTTTTGAATTGGAATGGAAAGTTTCAGTTGGGGAATTCCAAGTTGATGAACGGTTTTATGCAATGAAGGAATGTCTTTTAAGATCACTTTTCCTATTAAAATTCTGCTATTAATCTCTGTTTCGTTACCTCTCCCTGTCTCTGTCTTCCTTCCTCTCTCTCTCTCTCTCTCTCTCTCTCTCTCTCTCTCTCTCTCTCTCTCTCTCTGAAATCGCATGAGATAAAGAAAGAAAGAGAGAGAGAGAGAGAGAGAGATAAATTGAGATAAAAGTGTCGACAGTGAAGCATTTAGACATACTTTTCCTCAACCCAAATGTACACACACGTGCGTATTTGGACAGGTGTTGTTTGTTAATATGTGACGTATGGGTATTCTATCATTAGAATGCCTATTTATAAATGCATGCATCGTTTAGTTTGCTCATCTGTGTGTGTTTGTGTATGTTTGTGTATGTGTGTGTGTGCTGTATGTGTGTGTGCTGTATGTGTGTGTGTATATATATGTGTGTGTGTATTTAGGTTTGAATGGTGGCTTCATTATAGTCAAACATACATACGTACATACATAAACACATTCATACACATACATACATACATACGCACAAACATACATACATAGATACATACTTACATACATACAAACAAACATTCATGTATACAATATAGGTGTACGTCTAAAGCGACTTTGTATACGTGTGAGTCCCATTCGAAGTGCTGTTATTGATTTGCAACGGTCGTGTTGAGTGTACAACTTGTACGCATGTATCTGCATGTATGTTTGTATGTGTGTATGTATGTATGTGTGTATGTATGTATGTATGTTTGTATGTATGTATGTGTGTGTTTGTTTGTTTGGGTTAGTCATTCTATGAAAGAGCGTTACGTCCCTTAAAAATCCTCTCAAATGCTTATTTGCATTGGTCTGCTGCCTAAATACACAAATTACATACATACAAATGTTTGTACATACATAAATACATACATACATACATACAAACAAACAAACAAACAAACATACATACATACATGAATACAGACACTCTCACAAGTGTATCCCTATACATACCTACATCACATCCATCGTCATTTTCAGTTTTGTCATCATCATCACCACCATCCCCATCATCATCACCACCACCATCACCATCATCATCATAACCTAGCAGCCTCTTTCCAGGCAAAAGTATCGTCGCGGAAATGGCAGAGAACATCCATTTGGGTGAAGAGGCAGTGGTTGTTGTGCAATAAGGACGCTGTTATCAATGGCTCCCATTTAAATTTCATTCCATCATTATTATTATTCTGATTGTTATTACTGTTGTTGTTGCTGTTGTTGTTGTTGCTGCTGCTGCTGTTGCCGTCGTCGGTTGCGTCTCGATACGGAAGGTCTCGCGACAAGATTGCTTGTATCTGGTGATAATGTAGACGATTGCGATAGTGATGATGGAGGTTTTGATGATGTTGTTGTTAGTGTTGTTGGTGACGACGACGATGATGATGAGGATTATTATGATGATGATGATGTTGTTGTTGGTGGTGGTGGTGATGATGATGTTGGTGAGTATGATGATGATGATGATGATGATGATGATGATGATGATGATGATGATGATGATGATGATGTTTTTGATGATGATGATGATGATAATGATGATGATGATGATGTTGTTGTTGTTGGTGATGATGATGATGATGATGATGATGATACGAAACGTTGTAAATATTTAAGATAGCGTATGCATGGAGAAAAAATATTACAGAAAAAGCGTTCACTTTTTGCACTATTGACAATTCCTTGGAAACTTCCTCAACATCATCATCATCATCGTCGTCACCCTCATCGTCATCATCATCATCATTAAAAGTATCGTTATCATCACCGTTCAATGCTTTACAATCATCATCATTATCGGTAGCAACAGCTGAAGCAGTTGCATCATCATCATCATCGTCGTCGTCATCATCGTCGTGATCGTCTTGTTTGCGAGATTTTAATTTTTGTGGAGTGTTATGGGGTTTCTTTCTACTATGATGTTGTTTTTGATGTTGTTGTTCATGCGGTTGTTGTTGTTGCTGATGTTGTTGTTGATGCTGCTGCTGTTTTTGTTGTTGTTGTTGATGTTTTGGCGGGTTTTTTTCGTTCTCGGATTTGAGATTGAAAGAAAGTCTCTTAGTTATCCTGAGTTTATCAGCTGGCTGTGGTTGATGTTGTTGTTGTTTGCAAACAAATTTATCTGATTTAGAATCGTTCTTATCGTAAAAGTTGTTGAATTTTATATTGTTTGTGTTGCTGATGCTGTTAATTGTGTTGTCAATAGTGTTGTCAACAATGTTGTCAACAGTTCTGTCGTTATTCATCGTTGATTCTCATTATAATTTTTCCGAAGTAAAAATGAAATATTCCCTGCAAATGTCCTGAAAACATGTGAGTTGCATTATGGTGAATGAATGTATGCATTGATGTATGTATGAATGTATGTATGTATGTATGTATGTATGTATGTATGTATGTATGTATGTATGTATGTATGTATGTATGTATGTATGTATGTATGTATGTATGTTTGTATGTTTGTATGTATGTAGTAGATGCTATTTCTATGTATTTGAATGGTCGGATTACACGTCTATGCATAACCTAAAGGGAATGTATTTTTTCATTGATGGGGATACGATTGACGTTCTTAATGTTATTGATGAAGCCGATGCTGTTGTAGTAGTTGTTGTTGTTGCTGCTGTGTTGTTGCTGCTGTGTTGTTGTAGTTGTTGCTGTTGTAGTTGCTGTTGTGTTGCTGTTGTCTCATTCGTGATTTTGAGATTTTGAGCTGTTGTAGTTGTTGTTGTTGTTGCTGTTGTGTTGTTGTTGTCTCATTCTCGATTTTGAGTCAGTACGCGTACCACTCTATCCGTCAACAACAACAACAACAACAACAACAACAACAACAACAACAACAACAACAACAATAGCTACCATAATAATAATAATAATAATAATTCCAGCTACTCTATATTAAACATCATTTTTTAATTAAGCCAAGCACCTCATTTTTCTTCATCCGAATCACACCACGTACCTCGCATAAAAGTGACGTCATTATCGCCATTTATTATTATCATTATTATTATTATATTATCATTATTATATTATTATTATTTTATTATTATTATAATTTTATTATTAATATTTTTATTATCGTTACATTTTTTCGTTTTATTAATGTTGGGAACATTTCAGTTTGTTTTAGTACCTTGCGTCATAATTCTATTATCTGTTGTCTGACATTAATTATTATTATTATTATTATTATATTATTACTATATTATTATTATCATTATTAATTATTAGTATTATTTAGTCAAACAACCAACCAACCTGCCAACCAAAAAATTAACTTATTCTTCAGTTAATCGAAATTGTTAAATCAGTTATTTTTATATAAATTTCTAATTCGACAAACAAACAATTAATCAATCAATCATTCATTCATTCATTCATTCAAATAATCAATCATTCATTCAAATAATCAATCATTCATTCATTTAAACCATCAACCAATCAACTATTCGTTTAAAAATCAGACAGCTAGCTAATCAACCAACTATTCAACCAACCAAATAATCAAACAACCAACATTATTTGAAATTGCAAACAGACAAACAGACACACACACACACACACACACAAACATACATACATACCTACATACACAAAAAACACAAAACACAAAAAACAATGAAAAAGCATGAAAGGCAAGTTCTCCTCTCTTGATATAGCCGTTTTGAATATAAAATACATTGAATGCATGCGTGAATGAATGAATGAGTGAATGAATGAATGAGTGAATGAATGAATGAGTGAGTGAATGAATGAATAAATCAATGGATGTTTGCTCGTACGTTGCTGTATTTCAATGTATGCATGTATGCGTAAGTGTGTGTGTGTTTGTTTGTGTGTGTGTACGTGTGCATGTATGTTTTGGCATGCTTGTGTGAGTGAACCCATGTCGGTATATTTGCTTATGTTTTTATCTTCTCTCTCTCTCTCTCTCTCTCTCTCTCTCTCTCTCTCTCTCTCTCATTTTCTCTTTTTGAGTCTCCCTCTCTCTCTCTCTCTCTCTCTCTCTCTCTCTCTCTCTATATATATATATATATATATATATATATATACATATATATATATATAATATGTATATATAAATATTCACCCTATAAATATATATATTTATAAATATATATATATATATTTATTTATATATTTAATAAAGATTTTTTCAATATTTAACAATTATTTGATAATGGAAGGTTATAATAAACAAATAAATAGTGTATGTAGGATGGAATTTGAGAATTATTTGATTAGAACACACTTTTTGCATTTTCAGTTTTCAGCTGATTTTAAACTTAAGTCTCCTTTTAGTTTATCCTCAGTCATTTAAAATTTTAAATGTCCACTTCTTTATTGTTTGTTTCCCAAATTTTAAACAAAAACAAAGCTTCGAAAACTATTTTTCACTAATTTGAAATAAAGTTGAAAGTAAAATGAACAGCAATTTAAATAATTGGTTGTTCAATTTAAAATATGAAGATATTGATGGCGGGCTGGCCGCTGATTTCGACGGCTCGTTGTCCGGATTGGGGGTTGAATCCGGCAGCAATACTTACAACATGAGGTAGGGGCCGTAATGGGTCACCATTTTTTTTTAAATTTTATTTTTAGTTTTTAAAGTTTACTAAAATATTAAAAATAATTCACTAATCTTATTCTATTCTTATTCCAAAAAAAGGTAATAAATATTACTAAATTACGAAAATATTAATAAATATAATATAAATAGCAATAATAAATATATAGCAAAAAATCATTTATTTGAAATCAAAAAAATGTTTGTTTAAATAACGTTCTTTAACTCTGACTCTAGCCTGTTAGAACCATTTTGAGTCAAGGTCAGATAACAACATGACATGTAGTTTATATTATAATTGTAATATATTACATTTTAATATTGTTGCTGGTATGTATATATATTGTCCTGGTTATGACATTAAACTGACCCTCACTGCCTTGTGAGTGATGTTGGATCATCAAAGGCTAGGCCCACCGCTTATAACTGTGGTTGCGTAAGGAAGGGCGTCCTGCGTAAAAATTAGCCAAATAATTTACTTATGATGACAGAAGTGACAATGGCCCTCAGTATCCGGCAGAATGGCGTCGAGGGGTATTTCGGTTTCATCATAGGTAGCCAAACGGCAACCCCCGATCTTGGGGAAAATGTCGTCTAAACGTGTGTTGTTGTTGTTGTTGTATGTATATATATAGAGGCCTTGTTTAGAGGCAGGCACATGCACACACATAAGCACACTAACTTTTAACAATCTAAATATGTAATTGTGTAACATTTCTTACATGCAGTGAAGCACTTCTAGCCCTTCCAGTTTTCAATCAGGAAGATAGATCAAGGTCATCATTTTTAATGCATATTTAATTTAATTTTTTTAACGAAAATTTCAAAAATTATAGTTCATTATTACTGTTGTTTTAATTGGCACTGTTGTTAATTTGATCATAAAATAGAATTAGTAGCAGTGGCAGGCCAGCGAAAGTCTACATCCAAACGAGACCTCAAACAACTCCAATCGTCCCAACAATATCCAACAACCACCATCAGATCAATAGCAACAGTTTCAGTCTAAATTTAGACACGACAGTCGCTACAGAAGACATCACTGCTGACCATAACTTAGAAAGTGACATCACTAACGGTGACGTTCCTAACTGTGAAAATAATTTCAGTAAATCGTTAACTCTGCCTTTGATGCGTACATTATCATTTCCTTCGTCTCCTGATATAAATTCCCTAACTTCCCACTCACTATCTCTGCCTATTTTGTCCCAAGAAGATCTCGAGGACGGTCACTTAGACTCTGACCACATTGCAGCTGAATGGGCCCATTTGATTTCATCCATGAAGTTGGAGGGCGATGACGTCAGTAGGGATGTGTTAAATAATTCAAGGTGATGATTTTGACGACTGGTACCTAGTGGTGAAAATTTGATGAAGATGGTTATATTTGTGATGATTTCATTGTAGGTTTCAGTACATTTTGAATGCTTGTACATCTCCGGCCATGAGAATTTGTGAAGAAACGCTAACGTACCTCAATCAAGGTGCCATCATCATCATCAGCAGCAGCTTCGTCATCGTCATCATCACTGATATTGTCATCTCTATCATTGCTGTTGTCTTTTTAGTAACATCATTTTCATTCATGTTTGATTGTAGTAGTATTTAGCTCTTAAGCAATGTGGTCTGAAAGTAGTTCATAGATAGTTTTATTTAAAATAGTTAAGCAATGGCTCCTAGCTATCTCTTTACTTTACACAGATTGTTTTCTGCATTGCTTTTACCACAATTCTGTCATAGATTTGTATCTGTTTCGTAAACAACATCATCATCACCGATTGTATCATTATCAGTCTTTCGATCATTATCATTAATCATCATCATCATCTTTTCAGTTATCATAATAATAATAATAATCATTATTATCACAATCAGGGCAGCCTTATGAAATTAGATTGAAGTGTTTGAAGGACCGCCAAGATTTTATTTTTAGAACTCAAAGCAACAACAACGATAATAATAATAATCATAATTTTAATAATAATAATCATAATTTTAATAATAATAATAATGGTGAGGATGGTGGTAATAATACTTTCATGGTATGCACATCTTTATGTCTGATGTTTTGCTCGATTTCATTCTTTTCAACACTGATAATTAATAATAATAATTAATATTAATATTAATTAATAATTAGTATTATTATTATTATTCTAATTTAATAATAATACAGAGCACTGTACGAGTGGTCTTTCACGAGCGTCGCATGCAGTTTATGGAAAAAGAACAGCTGGAAGAATGGAAGATAGCCAGACCGGGAGAGAGAATTGTCGACATCGGTCAGCTTGTTGTTGATGTTGTCGTTGTTTTTAGTTGTATATTAATTTCAGACTTCATGTCGCACCATGTTGCCCCGTCTTCATTGTTATCATCACCACAACCACCATCATCATTATCATCATCACCACAACCATTTATCATCATCACAACCATACATCATCATCACAACCATTCATCATCGTCATCCTCCCCCTCATCATCATCATCATCATTATCATCACCACAATCAACGTCATCACCGCGACATAGACACGCCACTATCTCGAGGTATCATAGACACAAAAGTCGATTCAGGCCATATAAACAGTGTCTCATTTTTTTGGAGGACCAGCGACTCAAGCGATACAGCATCGGTGTTTATAAAAGTCTGTTATTGTTGTTGTTGTTGTTGCTGTCGTTATTATCATTATTATTATTTTTTATATAATTACCCATTTGACGATTAAATAACTATTCTAATAACTATTTTCCATATAGGTAAATTGTATTAGTTCAGAATTCACGGCTAAAAAACACGGCGGTGAAAAGGGAATTCCATTTAGAATTCAGGTACTTCTGGGCTATATTGTCAGAGATGTGCTGGTATTGTGTGTAGGTTTTTTTTTGGGTGTTTAGAGGTCAAGCAATGGCCTTTGGGAGTTACAAATTAACCTTTAATTTTGGGTGTATATTTTTTTAGAGTTATATTTAAGAATTTTCTTGTTAGTCGCATATCATGTGTTTCTTTTTAGTAGTGATGTGTTTTTTTTGTGGCTACACGTGTATATTCGGAGATGCGCACGTGTGTTGTGTGTGTGTGTGTATATATGTGCGTGTGTGTGCGTGCGTGTGTGTGTATTTTACATTTTTTAGGAGTATTTGAATCATTAAATGAAAATTTTTCATGCTTGTGTGTGTGACACGTATCAATGACATTAAAACATACAGGTCGAAACGTACTGTCGTAAAAGGAATAATAGTAATAATCATAATAATAATAACAACAACAATAATAATAATAATTATTATGATAATAATAATGATAATAATAGTAAGAAAGATGAAGATAATTGTCACGATAATGACGACTTAAATAATTGTACTGGCAGTGAACACGACATAAAATCGGCTGCTACTGCTACTACTACACCTACCACTATTAATAATAATAATAATAATATAATTGATAATAATAATAATAATTGGAGCAGTCCATCCAATTGGCAGCTATTGCATTGTGCCTCTTGCCAGATTAAAGTTTTTAAGGTTTTTATCATTATTACCATTAACTTTATTATTATTATTTTTATTATGATTAATTATTGTTTTTATTGTTATTATGATTATGATTATTATTTTTATTGTTATTGTTGTTGTTGAAAGCTAAAGGGCGCAGATAGAAAGAACAAAACAGACAGAGAGAAAGTTGAGAAGAGATGTGACTCGGAAAAAGTAATGAGAGACTGATGTGATGATGATGTTGCTGATGATGATGATGATAATGATGGTGATGCTGATAATGATGATGATGATGACGATGATGATAGCAAATAAATAATAAAATAAATAAATAATTGAATGAAGAAATATATTCCTTTTTTGCTACAGCAATTGTTCCAGCCGTCGTTCGATTGCACCGTCTTAACTGATGTACGTTTCATAATAATAACAATGATAATAATAATAATAATAATATTATTATTATTATTATCATTATTATTATTATTATTAGTGTTGTTGTAATTAAATATTATTCATATTTGTATCGAATAGATGCCTTTAAATGAGGTTGAGGACTATTTGAAATTGCTGGATAGGCAACAACAACTACAACAACAACTATTGTCAAACAACGGCATTAATAATGATATTAATAATAATAGTAATAATAATAATAATAGTAATAATAATAATATTAGTAATAATAATAATAATAATAGCAACAATGCCTGTAGAACTAGTTATATTAGCGATGCAATTAGTAATAAAAACGTTAAGCCAAAAGTTAAAATACACAACAATAATAAAGAAAATAATAATAGTAATAATATAATTAACAATAATAATATAATTAATAATAGTAATTTAATTAATAATAATAATATAATTAATAATAACGATGATAGTGATATGACTAAAAACCCACTTAGAACTACATCGGTAACTATATCATCATCGTCATCACCATCATTGACTGTATCGTCATCGCTATCATCAGTGGCTGCAGCAGCAGCAGCAGCTGCTGCAGCCATAACATCATCATCATCATCCGAGTTATCACCATCGTCATTATCGTCGTCTTCCTTTTCCCGGAAGCTTAAGCATATAATAAGGAATGACGATAGGAAAGCGGCAGATGATGACGTCATTAATAATAACGATGATGATGATAGTGATGAAGATGACGAGGCAGTAAACAGAGATTACACTAATAGTAACCGCGACGATAACATCATTAATGATGCTAAGGTATCTACATCATCGTCTAATGCTATTACTCCTACTAAATCAGCTACATCAACTAGAGTTGTTTACGGTAACGCTACTACTACTACTACTACTACTACTACTACTACTACTACTACTACTACTACTACTACTACTACTGTTACGACTAGTAGTGGTAGTAGTAGTAGTAGTGCTAACAATAGAAGTAACATTAGTGGTGGCAATGATAATAATAATAATAATATACATCCTCGACCTACAACTATGGTTAGAAAGATTGGGCTATATTTTTAGTTGTATTGATAATATAATTATTATTAATATCGGTTATTCATTTTTTCCAATTCTTTCGTTCATTCATTCGTTCATTCATTCATTCATTCATTTGCTTGTTTTTTTCCTCATTCAAATAGTTTTGCATATATATATATATATATATATATATATATATATATATATGCAAAACTTGCGTGATACTGAGGCGAGTGACAGATGTGGATGGCGTCGAGGGGTATTTCGGTTTCATCATAGGTAGCCAAACGGCAACCCCCGATCTCGGGGAAAATGCCGTCTAAACGTGTGTTGTTGATGTTGTTGTATATATATATATATATATATATATATATATATATATATATATGTATATATATATATATATATATATATATATATATATATATCTAGGAAACGGTTGTACGTTCGATCACTCGTTTTGTTTACCCATTGATTCATTCATTCATTCAATTATTCATTTACTCCTATACTCATTCATTTACTCATTCATTCATTCATTCACTCACTCACTTATTCATTCACTCATTCATTATCTCATCCATTCACAAACAGTCCAGAAAGAGGCCACTGAATAAGGTCTTCATTGTGAAGACATCATCGACCGCAGGCTGTCACGACGATGACGACGACGATGCTGATGACGTCAACAATGACGATCGTGACGATGGCGAGGAGCGTGACTATGATAATGGTGAAGGAAATTGTGGCGATGACGGCGGCGATGATGACGACGACGACGACAATGATGATGAAGAGGAGGAGGAGGATGCTTGCGAGAAGGAGATGGGCGACGTACGTTCACTTTGATCTTTTATGCTCACTATCGACTAGAATATTTATCATTTAGACTAGAATATTTATCATTTAGACTAGAATATTTTTCATTTAGACTAGAATATTTATCATTTTTAGTTTTTATCATGAAGTAGGCACTATAGTTCAATTATTCTCGAGAACGTAGAACTGACTGATGTAGCGAATTAGGCTGATAGTTTGTTACCAGAATCGTGTAGCATTCAATCTACTGAGCATAAAAATGCATAATTTGTTAATTGAAATCTCGATTTTTTTGATATACAGTATCTTGAATCGACCCAATAGTTATCTAGATTTGGCTGGCATTTTTTTTTTCATCAACAACTTAACCATCATCCCCGTAATGATCATCTTCGCAGCAAGTTTTGTCGGCATCATCGACACCAGACGACGTCTCCATGTGGCTTCTCAGTAATAGATTTAGCTCTTTCATTGAGACATTTTCAAACTTCTCAGGTCTGTCTTTATTTCTTTATTTGTTTGTTTATTCTTTTAGTCAATCAGCTGTTTGGTCGATTGTCTATTAGAAAATGCTTTCACTTGAAGTTATGGAGTTACGATTGTAATGTTTTTAATCAAGTTTTTAATTTTGTTTTGAGTTCGTGGAAGAGCTATTCTTATTTCTATTTTGTTATATTTAAATTTATTATTATACACATACTGCCATATATTATTAATGCGAAAAAAGTTGTATGCACACATACATACAAAC